ATTTACACTTGAGCTGGCTAGATGTCACCGTAAGTTCTGTGCTAACAGTTTTTTCTCTTGCACTTCTCACTTGTAAAATTCCTTCTGGCTCCATGCTTTCCAGCCAAGTTTAATCTGCAAAAATTTAAATGCAATGTCAATCACTATCTATTGTCTACCTGATTACTCTCTTCTCTTTCTACTCATCATTAATGTTTCTGTTCCTAATTCTTACACATCTGGTAACCCCTTGTGTTTAATGGCATTACTGCCTTGCTTGGAGTAATTCTGATTTTTAAACAAAAAATATTATCTTTATATTTAAAAAAAAAAAATCTATAACTTTTAAAAGTTTTTTTTTGCTACACAGAATATACATACTTATATTTAACATGAAAAAATAATTTTTATATACTGTAAGTAATTCTATTACATTTACTTATTTTTTCCTTAAAAAAAAATAGTCTATTAAAATAACAGTGAAAATATTTTAAAGTTGTATTTAAAATTGTAGTTAAAATGAATTCTAACCTAAACATCTTTTAAAATTGTAGTTAAATAAAATGTATTCTAACTTAAACACCTCTCAAAAAGTACTACCGGCACTTAAATGAATCCAATAAAACACCTACTGAAAAATGAAATTATGACGAAAAGCTAGAAGATGTAGGCCATTGAATGACCCATGTCCTTTGTACATACATGTGAAACGATATATTACTAAGTTTATATATAAAAAAAAAAATTAAGTTTACTAAATCAGAGAAATGAATTAGCTATTTTTGCCGTAAGTGCCATAAATTTTACTTAAATAATATTTAAATATAAAATTTTAAAAGTCGTAATATACATATACTTGATATAGAAAATAATTTTACTTACTGTAAGTAATTCTAATACCTTTACTTCTATTAAAAAGAAATATAGTCTATTAAAACTAACAATGAAAATATTTTAAATTTGTAATTAAAATTGTAGTTAAATAAAATGAATTCTAACCTAGACTTCTTTTAAATTGTAATTAAATAAAACATTCTCTAACCTAAAGACCTCCCTCTTAGTACTACAAGCTCTTAAAAGAATCCAATAAAACACCTACAGTAAAATGAAATTAATATGAAATGCTAGATGTAAGCTTTTGAGTGACCCATGTCCTTTGTACTTAGATGTGAAACAATATATTACTAGGTTTATATAAAGAATAAAAGTTTACTAAATCAGTGAAATTAAGTGGCTATTTTTGCCGTCATTGTCATAAATTTTACTTAAATAATATTTAAATATAAAAAAAAAAAAATTTGTAACCTAATAATATACATAGTTATAGTTGATGTGAAAATAATTCTACATACTGTAAGGGATTCTAATACATTTAATTGTTTTTAAAAGAAATATAGTATATTAAAAATTAAAAATGAAAATATTTCAAATCGTAGTTAAATAAAACGTATTCTAACCTAAACACCCCACAAAAATCTTTAAATATACAAATAGAAAAAAATGCTGTAAGAATTTTTGGCGTTAACAATAAAATTTTAAAAAATCCAGACGACATGCATTTAACGAATGTTAGATTTCATTGAAAAATACATCCCTACCCCTACCAAAATGTAACTAATAACTGATACATCAAAATACAGACATAATGAACACACAAACACCCCTTGTCTAGTGGAAGTGGATTTATCTGTAACCTTGGAAACGTGAATTATGATTTTAGCTGTGTCTTTAAAACCCAGTAATTTTAAAAGTTACTCCAAAATTCGCTTGAGGATGAAATGGAACTAACGTCTTTAATTTAATTACAAAATTAAATTCGGAGCTTTTAGCTTCCATTTTTGAAACATGGTTAGAACTGTGTAGCGAAAAAAAAACATATTTTAAATCAATTAATTTATAATATTAATGCTCTGTAAATTTACATTGAGCACTATTTTGTAAAAATATCTATAAGAACACCGATTATATATCTTACTGTTCTTTCTTTTTATTTATATATACATAACTTTTAAAAGCTAGAGACACTAAGCACATAGTTTCTATATCTATGTTAAGTCTTTGTCATTTGATATTTTAAACTAGATGCTAAATTCCTTAATATTTAAGGAGGAGTGTATAATCCTTTCCCTTTTGCCTTCATCAAAGGATATAAATCAGCCATTATCAGCGTGGGGCCGATGGCGACATCATGTTGAAACACTGGTTTATGTATGATCACTGAAGTTAAGTAACATTGATCTTGGTCAATAGCTAGATGGGGGTGACCACTTGGGAATACGACATGGATGTGCAGGTGATGTAATGGATTATGGCTCAGAATATTTCATCGGAGAGCTGAGTTCCAATTCCAGTTGGGTTTGTTATATTCACTTGCGTAAAAATACTCTCTTCTCTCCTAGTAAGACGTATAACTAAATCATTATTAGCTTAAAAAAATTCTTGCAATCTAAAAGAAATATTTTCTGGCTTTAAATAAGCTGCAAAAGGTTGATAAGCTATAAAAAATAAATCAATCAGTAATAGAAAAATTATCGACATCTTAAGACAAAACAAAAAAAATAGCAAATTCTTTTTAAATCTGTTTAAATGAAAACTACTGCTAATCTTCTTTGGGGTTACGATATTTAGCCCCCCCCCACGAGGGCGTCATGCGGCACAAGGCCTTTTTAACGTGGGTATTCCCGAGCCATTAGGCTCGGCCAAAAAATAGCCCATTTGAACCCGTATAAACGGGTTCAGGGCAATTTACCTCCCGAAGGAGACTCCGCCCTTGATAGTAGCCTCCTTCGGGTTACTCCTGCCCGTAGGAAGAGAGTTGAACCGATCAGTCGCTCAGAAAGTATCTGGACGGCTAACCAAACTTTGGGGTTACCAAATCAAAATTTCATATTTTCAAGTTTTGCGACTAATTTTTCCTAAAGTGTGTCCCAGAGTGTTGGTTATTCTACAAACGTACATGGAAGTAAAAAAAAAAACAAAACAAAAACAAACAATGATTAAGAAAAACTAGTGTAGACTATTCCAATTTTCCTTTTTATTTTGGCCAGGCACTAATAAACCTAATTCTACGTCCTGGGTAAGACGATAAACTACATCCAACAGCCTCTGAACAGGAGGTTTTGAGAAGCATGAAACCACCTCTTAATTGCTGGTGTTCCCAGGTCCACCCTGACCTAGGGTGGTAGCACCTGTTAGGGTCCCAGCTATGGGCAAATAATTAACACCCAAACTGGGGTCAAAACATTATGAAAGTGAAAAAATAGGTTTTAATACCAGAAATAATTTGTAAAAAAAAAAAAATTATTACCAGCAATATATTTTTGAAAAAAACAGATATTATCATCTATACAATTTTGAAGAAAAATATTACCAGAAATAGATTTTTTGAAGAAAAAAACATTATCAGAAATACATTTTTGAAAAAAAAGAATTACCAGCAATAAAAATTGTCAGCATTAAATAACCCATTGAGGTGTTGATATGCCATAAAACAAAATAAACCAAATCAGATCTTCTATTGAGATGTTCTTGGTTGGGGAAAGTAATTATGTTTAACTTCTCTTCTAGACATCCATGTTTTCAGCAACTAGCTCCACATGATTCTGCCTCATTATTTTTTAATAATCTTCCATCCAATTATAGGGGATTTATAGTATCCATCTTTATAGTTCCACTGTTCTCCATTGGAAGAATGTTTGGTAATTGTAGTAACCCAGGGTGAGCAGTCATGATGGTAATACTAGCAGTTTCTTTGTAAGTAAAGATTCAGCATTCATTGATAAAAACTTGAGTTACACTTTTTTTTCACTCCTTGGTCATTGGGCTGGAATCAAATTATAGTATGTGTTCTCCTCACCTCTAATGGTAATGATAATAACTGTTTCCTTATAAGAAACCATTCAGCATTTATTGATCTAGCATCCATTTTCTGTTGAAATTTATAAAATCTTTCTATTAAAACAATTTTTCAGAAAAATAGGTTTCTCAAATCCAGTACCTGAACTAACTTTTTTCTGTATTAATAGGGGTTTCCTTCCTTGCCTTTTGTTTGAAGTTGTGTGGAACATCAACATCTTAATTATATCATTGTTTTTTCATTAGGTTAGATGTGCTATTCATTTTAGTTGTTGCTGCTCTTGGAAGTCTTCAAATGATGTGATTTCTGTTATTTAGTACAGTTCTTCATGATTTTGTAGTGCCACTTCTCAAGAATGGTTCTTGCTAAGAGCTACAGGCTTCATTCACTTAAAGCCTCTTTTAAACATTGATCTGAGAAAGCTGTTGTATATAGCAGACAGTTTATATATTTCTGAACGAGTTTCGTGCCATGCATGTCATCCATATGAATGTCTTGATTTAACGAGGCTATTTAAGAAGATGACTTGAGTTTTTAGGTTAATGTTTTGGTTTTGTAGCAATTTGTGGTGTTGTGTGAAACTACTCCTAGCACAGGCTATTCTTTTCTGTATTCAGTTTCCTTATCTTATACTAGATTCATTTTAACAAAAGGTACATGAAGTGTTTAACATTTATTAATTCCACATCCTGAATTTTTATGATGGATTCAGGAACTGAGCAGTATTAAAGAAAAGATAAAGAAGAGATATCGCTAGACATGGACAGCAAAAGAACATTCTACTCCTGCAGATTAAATAAAGGGTTTAGTATGAAATTCCATGGTAGTGACAGACTTCTGAAGAAGGCCAGAGATCACAACAGGCATGAAGATATTAGTCTAAATGTAAATAATAATTTTTTTTATTGTTGTTTTTGTTCTCACCATAGGTCATCTGAAAATTGTACCAAATATCCACCATATTGTGGTTCTTTCCATCCACTGTGATCAGAATAGTGTGTGTGTGGGGGGGTGGGTAATAACTTACTGACTCCATATTTACAGATTAGTGTAATTAATATTGTCTATGCCTTGTTACAGAAAAGTAAATCTTTGTTTTTTTTTTGTTTTTTTTTCTTTTTTAAACAAAGAATTTCCATTTTGGATAATGGATTCATCTTGTGTTATGCCTGGCTTCCTTCCAGAATTTGTGACTGTAATCAGAATGGCATTTTTGGATAACTGCTACTTGTTATAAACTTTTGCTTTTTTTTTTTTTTTTTAAGTTTTTCCTTTTGACAACTTTGGAGTTTGATAAAATATTTTAAAGAATCCTTTTAGTTAATTTCACCTTACATGCACACACTATATATATATATATATATATATATATATATATATTTGATGCATGTGCCAATATCAAGTGTAGTGTTTATGTTGATAGTCATTTAGCATTAAATATATCCTTTAATGTAATCTTTTCTAAGCTGTCTTTTTGAAAATCCATTTTCAAAGATTTCTAATTGAAATACATATTAGAAAATTCATGTTTCTTGAGTTTTTCTTGTTTAATTATAAAAATATGCATATCATTTTGGATTTTGTTTTACCTATTCTTAAAATTTGTCCCCTTTTCAGTCATTCATTTTGATTATCTTTTAGTTAATAGTGTCAATGCAATTATTTTTTTTATTTTTACTTCTTCATAGAATTGTATTTGTCTATTTGGTTGTCAATTATATTGACTTTCTAAGGTTTATTGATTTTTAATCAATTTGATTAGATTTCATGTTGCTTTTACCAAAAACTATTTTTCTGCTATTATCTTCTCTGATTTCTAAAGTTCGGATCTGATTCTTTCCGTTTTCTCATATTTCTTGCAGTTCCCTCTTTATAGTCTTTCTTTCTTTTTTTAGGATTTCCGTAACCTTTGTTTCCTTTCCCTCTTGGTTTATTGCCTCTCTGTTCATTGCTATAGTAAACTTTCTCTTCCATTATTGTTTTTCAAATCCTATTCATACATTTGTCTCCCTACAGCAGCCTATTCAAATCTCTCTTATTTTCTCACTTTATTCTTTCCAATATTTTGCTTGCTCTGTTCATTCCAATCACTTGCTTTATTCATCCTTGTTTCTCTATCTTTGTTGATTCCAGTCTCTCTCACTCTGTTGATACCAATCTCTCTCTCTCTCTCCATTCTTGTCTCCCTCTCTCTCTCTGTTCATTCTTGTCTCCCTCTCTCTCTCTGTTCATTCTTGTCTCCCTCTCTCTCTCTGTTCATTCTTGTCTCCCTCTCTCTCTCTGTTCATTCTTGTCTCCTCTCTCTCTCTGTTCATTCTTGTCTCCTCTCTCTCTCTGTTCATTCTTGTCTCCCTCTCTCTCTCTGTTCATTCTTGTCTCCCTCTCTCTCTCTGTTTATTCTTGTCTCCCTCTCTCTCTCTGTTTATTCTTGTCTCCCTCTCTCTCTCTGTTTATTCTTTCTCCCTCTCTCTCTCTCTCATTCTGTCTCCTCTCTCTCTCTGTTCATTCTTGTCTCCCTCTCTCTCTCTGTTCATTTTGTCTTCTCTCTCTGTTCATTCTTGTCTCCCTCTCTCTCTCTGTTCATTCTTGTCTCCCTCTCTCTCTCTGTTCATTCTTGTTCTCTCTCTCTCTGTTTATTCTTGTCTCTCTCTCTCTCTGTTCATTCTTGTCTCCCTCTCTCTCTCTCTGTTCATTCTTGTCTCCCTCTCTCTCTCTGTTCATTCTTGTCTCCCTCTCTCTCTCTGTTTATTCTTGTCTCCCTCTCTCTCTCTGTTCATTCTTGTCTCCCTCTCTCTCTCTGTTCATTCTTGTCTCCCTCTCTCTCTCTCTGTTCATTCTTGTCTCCCTCTCTCTCTCTCTGTTCATTCTTGTCTCCCTCTCTCTCTCTGTTCATTCTTGTCTCCCTCTCTCTCTCTGTTCATTCTTGTCTCCCTCTCTCTCTCTCTCTGTTCATTCTTGTCTCCCTCTCTCTCTCTCTGTTCATTCTTGTCTCCCTCTCTCTCTCTATGTTCATTCTTGTCTCCCTCTCTCTCTCTCTCTATGTTCATTCTTGTCTCCCTCTCTATGTTCATTCTTGTCTCCCTCTCTCTCTCTCTCTATGTTCATTCTTGTCTCCCTCTTTCTCTCTCTATGTTCATCTCCCTCTCTCTCTCTCTATGTCTCCTCTCTCTCTCTCTATGTTCATTCTTGTCTCCCCCTCTCTCTCTCTATGTTCATTCTTGTCTCCCCTCTCTCTCTCTATGTTCATTCTTGTCCCCCTCTCTCTCTCTATGTTCATTCTTGTCTCCCTCTCTCTCTCTATGTTCATTCTTGTCTCTCCTCTCTCTCTATGTTCATTCTTGTCTCTCTCTCTCTATGTTCATTCTTGTCTCCCTCTCTCTCTCTATGTTCATTCTTGTCTCCCCTCTCTCTCTGTTCATTCTTGTCTCCCTCTCTCTCTCTCTGTTCTCTTGTCTCTCTCTCTCTCTGTTCATTCTTGTCTCCCTCTCTCTCTCTGTTCATTCTTGTCTCCCCTCTCTCTCTCTGTTCATTCTTGTCCCTCCCTCTCTCTCTCTGTTCATTCTTGTCTGTCTCTCTCTCTCTCTCTGTTCATTCTTGTCTCCCTCTCTCTCTCTCTCTTCATTCTTGTCTCCCCTCTCTCTCTCTGTTCATTCTTGTCTCCCTCTCTCTCTATGTTCATTCTTGTCTCCTCTCTCTCTCTGTTCATTTCTTGTCTCCTCTATGTTCATTCTCTCTCTCTGTTCATTCTTGTCTCCCTCTCTCTCTCTATGTTCATTCTTGTCTCCCTCTCTCTCTGTTCATTCTTGTCTCCCCTCTCTCTCTATGTTCATTCTTGTCTCCTCTCTCTCTATGTTCATTCTTGTCTCCCCTCTCTCTCTATGTTCATTCTTGTCTCCCTCTCTCTCTCTGTTCATTCTTGTCTCCCTCTCTCTCTATGTTCATTCTGTCATTCCTCTCTCTGTTCATTCTTGTCTCCCCTCTCTCTCTATATGTTCATTCTTGTCTCCCTCTCTCTCTATGTTCATTCTTGTCTCCTCTCTCTCTCTATGTTCATTCTTGTCTCCTCTCTCTCTCTCTATGTTCATTCTCTGTGTTCATTCTCTCTCTCTCTCTGTGTTCATTCTTGTCTCCCCTCTCTCTCTGTGTTCATTCTTGTCTCCCTCTCTCTCTATGTTCATTCTTGTCTCCCTCCTCTCTCTCTATGTTCTTGTCTCCCTCTCTCTCTTCTATGTTCATTCTTGTCTCCCCTCTCTCTCTCTATGTTCATTCTTGTCTCCCCTCTCTCTCTATGTTTCATTCTTGTCTCCCTCTCTCTCTCTGTTCATTCTTGTCTCCCCTCTCTCTCTCTCTGTTCATTCTTGTCTCCCTCTCTCTCTCTGTTCATTCTTGTCTCCCTCTCTCTCTCTGTTCATTCTTGTCTCCCTCTCTCTCTCTGTTCATTCTTGTCTCCCTCTCTCTCTCTGTTCATTCTCTCCCCTCTCTCTCTCTGTTCATTCTCTCTCTCTCTCTCTCTGTTCATTCTTGTCTCTCCTCTCTCTCTCTCTGTTCATTCTTGTCTCTCTCTCTCTCTCTGTTCATTCTTGTTCCCTCTCTCTCTCTCTGTTCATTCTTGTCTCCTCTCTCTCTCTGTTCATTCTTGTCTCCCCTCTCTCTCTGTTCATTCTTGTCTCCCTCTCTCTCTCTGTTCATTCTTGTCTCCTCTCTCTCTCTGTTCATTTTGTCTCCCCTCTCTCTCTGTTCATTCTTGTCTCCCCTCTCTCTCTCTGTTCATTCTTGTCTCCCTCTCTCTCTATGTTCATTCTTGTCTCCCTCTCTCTCATTATTTCCCTCTCTCTGTGTTCATTCCTCTCTCTCTCTCTGTGTTCATTCTTGTCTCCCTCTCTCTCTCTGTGTTCATTCTTGTCTCCCTCTCTCTCTCTATGTTCATTCTTGTCTCCCTCTCTCTCTCTATGTTCATTCTTGTCTCCCTCTCTCTCTCTCTATGTTCATTCTTGTCTCCCTCTCTCTCTCTCTATGTTCATTCTTGTCTCCTCTCTCTCTATGTTCATTCTTGTCTTCATTCTATGTTCATTCTTGTCTCCCTCTCTCTCTATGTTCATTCTTGTCTCCCTCTCTCTCTCTCTTCATTCATTCTCTCTCTCCTGTTCATTCTTCTCTCCTCTCTCTCTCTGTTCATTCTTGTCTCCCTCTCTCTCTCTGTTCATTCTTGTCTCCCTCTCTCTCTCTGTTCATTCTTGTCTCCCTCTCTCTCTCTGTTCATTCTTGTCTCCCTCTCTCTCTCTGTTCATTCTGTCTCTCCTCTCTCTCTCTCTGTTCATTCTTGTTTCCCTCTCTCTCTCTCTCTGTTCATTCTTGTCTCCCTCTCTCTCTCTGTTCATTCTTGTCTCCCTCTCTCTCTCTATGTTCATTCTTGTCTCCCTCTCTCTCTCTATGTTCATTCTTGTCTCCCTCTCTCTCTATGTTCATTCTTGTCTCCCTCTCTCTCTATGTTCATTCTTGTCTCCCCTCTCTCTCTCTATGTTCATTCTTGTCTCCCTCTCTCTCTCTCTATGTTCATTCTTGTCTCCCTCTCTCTCTATGTTCATTCTTGTCTCCCTCTCTCTCTATGTTCATTCTTGTCTCCCTCTCTCTCTATGTTCATTCTTGTCTCCCTCTCTCTCTGTGTTCATTCTTGTTTCCCTCTCTCTCTGTGTTCATTCTCTCTCTCTGTTTCATTCTTGTCTCCCTCTCTCTCTGTGTTCATTCTGTCTCCTCTCTCTCTCTGTGTTCATTCTTGTCTCCTCTCTCTCTCTATGTTCATTCTTGTCTCTCTCTCTCTCTATGTTCATTCTTGTCTCCCTCTCTCTCTCTCTATGTTCATTCTTGTCTCCCTCTCTCTCTCTCTATGTTCATTCTTGTCTCCCTCTCTCTCTCTATGTTCATTCTTGTCTCCCTCTCTCTCTCTGTTCATTCTTGTCTCCCTCTCTCTCTGTTCTGTTCATTGTCTCTCTCTCTCTCTGTTTATTCTCTCCCTCTCTCTATCTGTTCATTTCTTGTCTCTCTCTGTTCATTCTTGTCTCTTGTCTCTCTCTCTCTGTTCATTCTTCTTTCTGTGTTCCCCTCTCTCTCTCTCTCTATGTTCATTCTTGTCTCCCTCTCTCTCTCTCTATGTTCATTCTTGTCTCCCTCTCTCTCTCTCTCTGTTCATTCTTGTCTCCCTCTCTCTCTGTTCATTCTTGTCTCACTATTTTTCTCTTCATTCTTATATCTCTCTCCATTCATTCCTGTCTTCCTCCTTCTCACTCTAAGATTATCAAACAGAATCAAATATCCATGATTGTGTGTATGAGAGTATGAAGTGGGTGCCAAAAAGTTCTTCTGGTTTTCTTTTCAAAATTGAATATCAGAATTTATTTTGGATCCCCATCTTAGCCAAGCCAACTGAAAAAAAGGAACTGACCATAACAGTTCAATTAAAAAGAAAACCAAAAGAAAAAAGAAACAAAAAAAACTAATGTTACTAACCTTTTACTATATTTTTCAATCTTTTAAACAAGTCAAACTCTTTGTTAGTTGGACTTTTAATGGGTTACATCAGTGAATGCAGTGATGATAGGAATTTTTGAAACTGGCTTAACACCTGAATAAAATGTAATCTACCTCTTTTTCTTTGCCCACCAACCCCAGCTAGGGTTTTTGTGACCCTGTCTGTCTAGAAGCACATCCACATATCAAGGTCTTCTGTTAGTATGCAGTGAGATTGTCTCCATGGCAGGCTTGTTAGGCCTGTCACATAGCTTACAACACCTAGTATTGTCCAGTGATCACCTATCTGAGTACTGATCAGGCTCAATGTTGCTTAACTTTATATATTAGATGAAAACAAATGTTTCAACCAGATATATTCTACTTATATGAAATAACACATTCTGGCCTGCCTTTTGAGTTCAGATGTCAGGATTTTGAATGCTGATTCTCTCAGCAGGCAGGCCCTTCCCACTTGAAACAATAATGGACTACGACCTTCCTGTTATCAAATTTCACACCATGATGCATCTCTTTGTTTCAAATATTCGACTGGCTCAGAAGAATCATTTAAATAATAACAATGCTTTTGTAAAATCTTATCAATAGAAAGACTTGCCTACAGACATATTTTTTTTTAAATTTCTTTATTTTCCTCAGAATTTGGTAGATAAAAGTTCCACACTATTATCTTTCTCTCTCACGTCTTTTTTTTTTCTTTGCTCTTTCTACTTTCTGCCTCCATTAGGTGAATGTCTTTGGAAATTTATAATAGATGATGTTGAAATCAACGAGCCTTTTATATTTCACTTTTCATGAGCTTCTTTGCTTCCTTGTGTCTTCTTTAATTGAATCTCAGCTTTTAAAAGGCACTGCAAAGAGAATCATTATGAATTAAAAATTGTTTTTGTTTAAAGTGTTTCTTTCTGAGAGTTCAAACATGGTAATTCCTATCTTTACATTTCACCCTTACTTGTCATAGGGACATTACCTACGATCTATCACCAGTAGAAATTGTTCATCATGCTAAATTGATTTTCAGTTTATTATCTCAAGCTCCGAGATCAAGTTTTCTCATTATTCCGTGAAATTTTTTAGCCAGTTTTGTCATTTGGATCGCAATATATTGATGCTCTTTGACTTTCCCAGTATTGTCGAAAGATTTCAAATTCCAGGAATTATTATATCTTTGTTTTTATCAAAACATTTTGGCTGATGCCCTCTCTGGCCTTCTTTATGTTGCCTGGAGTTTTAAAATGAAGGTTAGGTTTCTTTCTAACCCTGAAATGAAGTATTGTCATTATGACTTAATTGGTCATGCAATATCCACATCATTGTTATTTTAATCTCTACCTTTCAGATGCTAATTTTTCTTGCTTTCCTCAAGTTCTAAAACAAAATCATTATTCCATGAATTAATCTGACTAGTACCTTTTAGCTATAAGAAAATTTACACATCTTTCCATGCCCATCAAAATTTCCAATCACTCAATCAGAGGCCTTGCTGTCGGACTCATATAGATCAAGGAACAGTGTCCTTTATGAAGGCTGCATCAATGTTCGGGTGGTGTTCCGCATTTTGCTTTGTAATATATTGTTGTTCAGAAGTTGTATTGCCTTTTATGCACATACTCCTTTCTGAGATGAGATATTGTAAGTATTTACACTGTTTACATTGATTGGACTATTGTTCTCATCTTTATTCCCATATTCATGATGTTTCAGTTGTTGTATTCTATAACCTTCTTCAGAGGATGTGTGTTGCAATGTCAAACCAAACTCTTTATTTAATCCACAGAGTAGGTTGTTCTAATCCTATGTGCTATGCCCCCCCCTTTTTTTTGATATCTCAGTTTCAGTTAATTCCCATAAATAACTCTACTCTCCAAGATAGTTTTTTCTGCTGCAGCCAGGTATTGAACCCACAACTTTTTGGATCAAGTCAATTTTTGGATCACTTGAGCCAACGCTTTTATTTACTGGGTTTGAAAATTCAATGTATATCACTTGAAGAAGGCTGAAACATTGTGAGTATGCAATAAAGATGAGGACAACAGCCTGAACGATATAAATAATATAAATATATACTCCTCCCCCTGACATAATCAGAAGCCACTTCCTCAAATGATGACAACGAGACATCAATAGAGTTTAGTTTTTACTTACATTTATCCTTGTACTTCATCAGGGATCTTCCCATATTCCAACAACTGTCATGCAGTTGACTGGATATAAGAACTTTTGGTGTCCTGTGTACAACATGAGCAGACCAATGAAGTTGTGAGTGCATTAGAAATTTTGTACATTGAAAGATAAGATACTTATCTCTTTCAGTAGCTGCTCAAGGCTTATGTTCATGTTTTTCATTTTGAGTTGCCATGAAACTCTGCTTATCTCAGTTTCAATTAGTTTCTATTTGACATGAAATGGACCATCATTTGGCACATGGCTTTCTATCTTCCCTTTGCTTGTTACCAGCACAATATTATACTCAAAGCTAGAGAATAAACCAGCAAGTGTAGCAATCAAAACAACTAAATTGAGGATATTTGTTGGAATAATTTATTGAACAGTGAGCACTTCAGTCATGTATGTGCCATCTGTGATACACGTGTAGGCAATCATGTATATTTTGATACATGACTGACAAAGCAGATTTTTTCCCACAATAGGTTGCTATATCTTTCTGTGGTAGATCATTGCCATCTAAGACTATAGAACCTGGTCTGTCCTGTTATTTAACCATAGCTGGGAGGAGTAGAAGAGGATTCATACCTTTCCCAAGAATATTAGCACGTAAGTGAATGTAATGGATTCAACTGGAATTCGAACTCGGCTCCCTGATTCCTCAATCCATGCCGCTATTCATTACTCCATCATGCCTATGATTTCAAAATAAACAAGCCAGGCAGAACTTTACACAAACATAAATTTGTTTTTCCAAGTTTATCTTTTTCAAAATCTTTATAGAATTGCCGTAAATTGTTTGCGATTCCTGATTGGAAATTATTTTAAAGAATGACTAATTTGTGATACGAAAAACTGTGTCAAAGCATAATTAACAATAATGCTTGTTGGAATGGCTGCTCTTATGAACCATTTTAGCTAATGGGGAAAAACAATGAAATAGTTTTTCCTTTTTTTATTTATAGATTAAATTTACAAAGCAATAGAATTATTTTATTTTGTTTTTTGCAGTTGAAAAATTTGATTATATATAAAGAATCTTGTACAGAACTAAAATATATTTAAAGTGAATATATATTGTTCAAAATTCACTATATTTATTAAGAAAGAGTGGCCAATATTAGAGAGAATTTATAAATATAGACAGTGTGGTCATAACCATGATAACACTTGGTTTCAAGCTATATTGATTTGATAATCACACTGAAATGTGAAACTGACAATAACCATGCTGTCTTGATTCCTATGTCCACATAATATTTTTCTTCCTATATATATATATATATATATATATATATATATATATAAAATTTACATCCTAATTGGGTCAAAACCCACTACAAAATTGACACACTCTTGCAGATCTAAAAGAGTGCTCAGTACACAAACTCTAGAGCAATACTAAGAATCTTATTTTATAAAGATATAAATAACTTGTCCGATACAATAGTTTCACTCTCTGAATCATCAAGTTGGAGGTATGTGTAATTATATATATATATATATATATATATATATATATATATATATATATTATATTATTTTTTTTTTTTTTATTATTTAATACTTTTTAATATGTCTAGTAGTATTAAATTTTATACTTTTATTTCGATCATTAAATTTTGTACCCACAAAAATATCTTCAAATATCTTAAAAACAGGTACAACCAGAATTTAATTAGTAAATTAAATAAAATATTACAGATTAAGGCGAAATTGAGAACTGTTGAATATGAAATTAAATTTCTTCAGCAATGTATCCGCTTTCAGGTTTGCCCCTCTTTCATTCAGTTCAGAGTGAGGAGGGCTAAGTTACACCCTAGTTGGAATATCGAGTCGGTCTTTATTAAAGATCGGATTAAACATCTTTCTTCTCTAAACCTGTGCTTTAAGCGAGATTATAGGAGATTATTATGTACGCATATGAATTCTGTTTCATTTTTTGATTGGATTAGGTTCTCCAGGTTTTTGGGACTGGTCCATCAACGGCAGTGTGGAAAATTATCTACAAAGCAAGATGCCAAGTTGAATAGTTTGGTCCAGAAGAAATACGGAGTCACTTCTGAACCTAATTCAAATAATATTATTAATCTGTCCACACATGAACTAACTGAGTTGGAATCATTCGTTCTTTCTCACGGGTTGGACTTCTCCATTCCTCCTCTATGCCGGACAAGGAGAAGATTTTTTCTGAGTTTGAGGTTTTCTATGCTCAGTTGGTAAGACTCTCTCTCCACCTCTGTCGACGCGGTTACTAATTTGAAAGCCCAGTTGAACAATTTTGCTCACACCTTCTCCTGCTCCTCGTCGCCACCGCCGAATCAAATGGAAAGCAGAACATCAGCGTGTTATCAACGCTCTGAGGAATAATTACGACTTGATTATTTCCAGACCTGATAAAGGTGCCGGTGTAGTTATTTTGGATCGAGTAGACTATATATCCAAAATGTCTTCTATTTTAGAAGACACTTCAAAGTTTACTAAACTTGGTTCTGTTGAGACCTGTGATGGAACCTCCTCGTGTGAAGCGAAATTCAAAAATCACTTTTAAAGTGGGTAAAATCAGGGTTACTCTCAAAGGAAATCGCCAAAAGAA